TTAGCTATTTCTGATTTAAGGTGTACATAGTACGGTGCCTTTTTTGTTGTTTAAAGTATGAATCTTGGATTTTGTGGGGACGTCCTGTGTGAATCTGAAACATCAAATCATGTGTCCACACACTTGGAAGCTTGGAAGGATCTGTAGATTTTACAGCCTAATTAATAATTATTTAGAGAGTAAAATCCCCAAAGACCCCTTCTACCTCTCAAAAATGGTTCTGATTTCTTACCCTGTCATGTGGGTTGATTATCACATCTGAGTTATAGGTTTAACTGGGAAGGAATTAGAGAATTTCAATGTGGGAATATATAAATGTCTTTATAAATTTTGGTGCAAGTTTTCGTCTCCGAAAAACACTTGGGACCAGACACATTCTGTGCTCACTTGCATCATGCAGTGGATAGTTTCTAGTCTGACCTTCATCTTCATGGTGTTACCAAAAGCCCCAGGGGGCTGTAGCTACAAGGGGGACACAGTGTGGTAAGCATCCATATGTACCTTTGTATAGCAGGATATCTAATATCTATTACTCTATCTTTTTACTTCATGTATAATGGCTTTAAGGACTTCACTTGTCTTGGATTACCACTGATGCATATATCCATGTATTATCAATTGCTCCATCGTCATAATGAATTCTGTGTGTAGTCTCCAGTTGATTATTTAGAGTGTTTATGTTATAAGTTATTTCAATATAAAATGTTGGTACACTGTGTTGCGTCTAATTATATTTCATAAAATAAATTATTTCCAGATAAGTAAATACATATAATTAAAAATAGCTCATCGTTACATATTAAATGAAAAAGAAAAGTTATTTCTCTTTTGCTTTTAAATGTTCTTTTCCCTGTCTTATTCTTATCCATGTTTCTCAAATTACATAAACTGCAAACTTATGAATTATACAAAAAGCCCAACAGTATACTAATTATGCCTTAGGAGCAGAGTTAAAGTGAAAATTAGCATTTTACAATACAGTGTGTTAAAATAAATGTATAGAATCTTATTTGCTTACTGTTTAAAAAAAAAAACAAGAGTTTTAGAAAAACACAATTTCTTAAAGAAAATACCAGATAAACAGATAACAAGATTCCTATAGTGTTCCTGTCCTCCCCATTATTATCGCATATACAGAAGATTTGATAGTTTTTTACAGAAAAAAATGTAAGGATAGTTTCAGTCTGACACACTGTCACGTGGATAATACAAATAATTTGAAAAGCTTTTACAAAAAAGGACAGGCAATCCAATTTGTTTATTCCCAAGGATTATGCTGAATTTATTTGTACTTGGAAAGAAAGACAAAGTCCTGACTTTAATCCTCAATGTCTGTCAGTTGTTTAACTTCTCGGCTTCCATTGCAACATCCTGGTCAAGATGGTCATCATCCAGATGGTCTTAGGTCATTATCCCTAAGTGCTCTCTCCTTTTGAATTAGACTCCAGACATGCTCTCAACTCCCGCCTGGATTTCAAGCCCTTTATAAATGCAACTGCCCTTAAAGCTTCAATCTGAAATTCTTAGTTTTTCACTGTCCATTTTATGTCCCTTATATGCCTTAGCTCATTAACAAGTTCAATTAAAGAAGCACATACTTAGTGCTGCGTGCTATACTGAAAAAACTTTTTAATTGCTGTCTTTTTTTTTCTCATAACATGTTATTATGGGCTGAATTGTATCTCCCCCCCCCACCCCACCGCAAACTCATATGTTGAAATCCCAAACCCCAGTACCTCAGAATGTAACTGTATTGGGAGATAAGGTCTTTAAAGAGGTATTGGGTTGGTCAAAAAGTTCGTTTGGGTTTTCCAGTAACATCTTATGGAAAAACACAAACGAACTTTTTGGCCAACCCAATAGTTAAGCTAAAATGAGGCTGTTAGGATGAGGCTTTAATCGAATATAACTGTTGTCCTTACAACAAAAAGGAGAGACACAGGGATGGGTGGCCATTGAGAAAAGGCCATGTGAGAACAGCCCATCTACAAACCCAGGAAAGTGCCTTCAGGAGGAACCAACACTGCTAACACCTTGATCTTACACTTCCAGCCTCCAGAACTGTGAGAAAACAAATTTCTGTTGTTAAAGCCACTCAGGCTGTGGTATTTTGTTATGGCAGCCCTTGCAAACTAATACACACGTATATCTAGTAGGTATCAAAAGGGATTAGTAACACTGTAAAAACACCAATTTGCTCTGAAGTTAAATTCATAATCCAGAAAACATAAGAGCAGATATAAAAATAGATTTTGAAGAAACCCACCCCCCCTTCAAGTTCCATTCCCTGCCTCTCTAAATCTAGCTCAGTCCACCTATTATCACCATGAATGTTCTCTGCTGTTCTGGGTGACTCTAGCTCCCTTCTTAGGACCTCTTGAATACCTAGCTCCTAGTCCAGCGGAAAGAAACATATTTAAAATCAGAACCTTGCTCTTATTCTGAACCCAATATTTAAAACAAATATCAGTACACCTGTCTATTGTAGCTGGCATTAAGGGAAGGAAGATAGAACTCCTTTGCCTGCTCACTCCATCCAGCAGTCCTCGTTCCCTTCTTCCATATTCACAGTGACACAGTGACACCTGGGACACCATCACATGAGACATGGGTTTAAAACCCCATACACTCAAAAATCAACTCCTACATTAGGATGGCATACAATGAACTGAACAGCACAGCATAGGGGTATGAATTTTAAATTTCTTGTTAAATGAATTTGAAGCCCATAATTTTTCTGAATTAAACAAGAAACCCTCCACCCAGTCTGAGAATCTATGAACAGGAACTACCTGTGGAGTGGGTCTCTACTTGAAGCTGGTATGGTGTTGGCTTCATGGCTAACCCATACATGGGTGTCAGGTCAAGCTCAGCTTCTGGGCACTTCTCCAGCTTGAGCTGCTGTAGAACTGTGGTGATGAAAATGAATATCTCATTTCGTGCAACATCTTCTCTGAGACACTTCTGGATTCCCATTCCAAAAGTCAACACCTTCTCAACAAAGTTCTATTCAGTTCCATGTTTTCATTTAGAAATCTCTCAGGTCTAAATAAATTGGGATTATCCCAAATAGTTCTGTATAAAATAGACAAAAATAAAAAATTTTAAAGGAATCATTTTATCACTTTTACCTTTGTTGCCAACTTTTCCATAATAATTTTGTTTTGCATAAAGTGTTCTGTTCAAGTTCAGAACATCCTTTATAAATTATATATATATATATATGTATATAGTTATGGAGCTATGTAATTATATAATTATTACAGATATATATGTCATTCTTTCCTTTAATATGTTGACAGGTTTAGTTATCATAAAAATTTAATACAGGGCTTCCCTGGTGGTGCAGTGGTTGAGAGTCCGCCTGCTGATGCAGGCGACGCGGGTTCGTGCCCTGGTCCAGGAAGATCCCACATGCCGTGGAGCGGCTGGGCCCGTGAGCCATGGCCGCTGAGCCTGCGTGTCCGGAGCCTGTGCTCCGCAACGGGAGAGGCAAAAAAAAAAAAAAAAAAAAAATTTAATACAATTATTTTTCACTAAAATGACTTCTGGTTCATTAAGTAGTGAATAAAATACATGAAATGTATTTAAATTTTTTATCTTAAATGAATAATTCCACAAAATTCTCATTAGAATAATCCAAAATTGTGGCGTAAATAAGGTAATAAATATTCAATCTCCTTTGCTTTAAGCAAAATAAGCAGGAATGATGAGACTGAGACACACCTCTCACTCTGGTGCTCTCTCACTATGTTTAGGAAATAGCCTTCATACATCATCACAGGAGGAGCCAGGTCTCCTGAAAGCAGCCCTGATTGAGGGGGTTGCCCACAATTCCCAAATTGTTGTGCATTTGGTTCTCTCTTCTCCCTCCACCTTTTTTTTTGTTACAGGCACCACATTTGGCTCGTCTATGACAACTAATGTTTGTGAGTTGCCTACATCTTAAGCCATACATCAGGGACTCACTTGACTTCATAAAGAACTGGGTCTCTTTGCCTATAGATGTCACCCTCTGTCTAGGAGAAAAATTTGTTTTCTCTCTGCACCAGAGGTCATGGACCTGGGGACTTACAAGTCATACTCAGTCCTCCAAGAAACTTCATTTTGCTCTCATAATCTTTTAAAAATAGTTAATTGCTGCTGACATTTAAAAATCAGAAGATTCCACATGAAAATCTACATTTTCACGTTCTTTTTTTTTGGTAACTGAAAGAGCTGATAACAGTGGGACAATGCCCTGCTCGCCAACAGTTTATTGGGTTGAATTAGATGCAGCAGATGACCTCTTGCCACTGCTTCAACAAAGTACAATTCTTTCATTTTTGGTATTTTCCACTGCTCAGTGGGTGCTTGAGTTTGTGACCTTTTAGATTCAACATGAATAATTTTCCCATAATATCAAGTCTTGAATTACATACTCATTTACTTAAACAAGTGCCTCCACACAAATAGTATTTCTTTACTAGCACCTGTGTTAACTGAGTTTGTTTGATCATTACTCAGTATTCAATATAATCACAAGTTCTTAGGATACTAGAACACTTGGGATACTTGGGGTTGTACCAACTGAAAATAAATGCCATTCAATTTACACTGACTGTATTTCTTCTTATAATGGGTTTAAAAATGCTTAGGTTTATCCAATATGATCACTGGGTGGAGAATGGACGTATCAATCTCTCTGACAATAAGTGTTCCAGTGGGACGGTCTGTGCAGTGTATTCTACCATTTTGCTAGTTACAGAGATTGTGAAGGTGCTGTTAGGTACACAGGATAATCAACTCCCTCCCTAAGAGCCTGGAGCCTAAGCCGTCGGTCAGATGAGATGTTGGGTGAAGACGGAGAAGCTGTACAGAGTACTGTACATACAACCGGCTGAGTGTATAAGAATGCCATCTTGGGAATTCCCTGGCGGTCCAGTTTTTAGGACTTGGTGCTTTCACTGCCAAGGCTCAGGTTTGATCCCTGGCTGGGAACTAAGATCCCGCAAGCCGTGTGGTGGCCAAAGTGGGGGGGGGGGGAAGGAAAGATTGCAATCTTTACCAGTTTACTGGCGACATCAAGCCCTCACCACATGGAGCATATAATTTCCATTAAATAAGATTTACATATTAAACAGGATTTACACTGGATGTGAGTCCTGCTTCTCTTACCTGCTGAACATGTGATCGTAAGTAATTTGTTCAATCTGGCTGAAAGTTTCTTCATCAGTAAATTTGGGGTCATGCTAGCGCCACTATATAGGATTACTGTTGAGGTCAGAGGAGATATATCTGAGCTTCTGTGCCCAGCACACAGTGGGAGTCTATAAAGATTAACTGTACTCACCATTATTCCCACCAGTGCCATCACCACTCATCACCCTCACTTTTCACTGCCTGAGGTACCTTAGGCTCAGACTGCCCTTCCGTAGTTGATATGGGCAAGCCTCTAGTTGCATTTTATTCACAAATATTTACTGAGTGCCTACTATGTGCCAGGCACTGATCTAGGTACTGGGGTTGAGGAAAAAGCAAACAAACAAAAAGGGAGAGAAAAAACAAATCCCTGCTTGGTGGCTTACACTCCAGTGGGGGGTTTCAGGCTGCTTTTCAAATATCAGCTGGTCATACACATGCAGAGGGTGAGCTCACGAAGTCCTTCGCTTACACCTCCCCCAGTGAGCCCACTTTTGAAATTCGATTTACCCTGAATGAATCTGTATTAAGATTTCATCCTTCCTATTATCTGTGAGGAAAGAAAACTGAATTTCTTTCCAACTTCTTTCAAGAGAAACAGAGGGAATGAAGTTTGGTTAAGAAGAATGTGAATTTTTCCCAGATTAATAAATAGCAAACAAACAACCAAGCAAATTTTATCTCAGGAAATAATTTTGGTGGCTTCCTCATCATGATTTACTTGATACATGTTAATAAAGGTGCATGTTTTCCTGGGAATGAAATAACCATTCAGAGTAGTATCTGATGTAGTACTGTAGGAAAGAGAAAGGCAGCATTACAATGCATCCTGTAAATTCAAATAACCCATCCCTAAGCTGCCTCCCATGATGCATGGACTACTTTTTGTTAGTGTTATTTTTTACTGCAATAATGATGTGACATCTTTATAAATCTCCCTCTGTTCATTAATTGATATATCTTCACCTATTGTCAAATCACTAATTTATTCTTTTTCTTGTATTTGTTAAGCATATTGAGCACCTAATATATTGAAGGCATTGCTATGAGCTAAAATCTCTAGAAAATTATCTCAATATTTCTATGACAGAGTTGGTCATAAGTAGACACATTCGAATACAACCAGAAACTATTAAGGACATTATAAAGCATTTTCTTTGTATCCCATGTGTTTTTGGCTTCTATTAGTAGATTAGAAAAACAAAACATAACATCATTTAGTACTTGATGGGAGGAACTAGGAATTGGAATGGAATTGGAACTAGGAAATCTGAACTCTAGATACTGGTCTCAGTGAGATGTTGGGCAAGTCTCATACCTACTCTATGGTTTCATTTCCTAGTTGTGAAATAATATTGGTTGTATTGGATGGTCTCTAAGCTGCTTCTAGAACAAGTATTCTATTTTTCTAGTCCCATACTCAGACTTCATTATGTATACTGTACATCTTTCCCTTTTATACCTCTGTAATTATGCACAGTTTAGATTAAGTCATGTTATATTTCCATATGGCACTCCCTAACTTCTGAGATGGCCCTCACACTCACTTCTCCCCAGAGAAGCAGTGACATTTCAATGTGATGAGTTTAAGAGCAGTCACTGGACACATTTGTCTTAGCCACTTCTGGGTTCTCTTTTCTGATTAGCCAACCTATAGAGAAGGTAATACATCTCATCTATAGTTATTAATGGGCTGAGCTGAAGAGCAGGTTTCGTACAGAGGAGACTGCTGTTGTCCAACTTTGCCAGAGTCTGAGTGGAGAAGTATGTCTAATTCAGGTAAAAAGTATGAGTAAGCCTCCTTGGTCTAGCTGTAAGCCAAACTGTGCAAACTAGCTCTGATCATTAAAAAAGTTAATATTTGAAACTCTCTCTGACCTACTTTCATCTTGCAGCTGGTACTGAACTTTGGCAAGTAATATGGGTATTATTCATCGGGTGCCCTCAAAACCCAACAAAGGAGAAGGTCAAAAAAGGGATGGAGCCATTTGTTGGAAGGATTACCGGCTCCTAGGTATAGCCACTTGCCTTTCTCAGTACATTCCTGTCTACACTCCCTCTGTGGATTCAGCTGCTCAAATTCTACTCTGCATAAAAACCACATGCTCCCACCCTATGGAAACCTAGCATGTAAAATTTGATTTCACTAATATTAAACTATGAGTGACTATATATTCTAAAGAAGGACTCAATATATAAATTTATTCATTGTAGGGTCTCTCTTTCTAAATATATACTTCTGAAACTTCATATATAAAAATGCCTTTCCGCGTAACTTTTAAAGAGCATACATGCAATAAATATTTATTAGGGTACTGTTTGGTCTTTCGTGTATGTGTGTACATACGTTATATATAATAGCAAAACTTTTGCCCCCTTTACCTAAGATTCTTCCATTTATCTTTTTAAAATTCATTTCATTTTAACCATTTTCTGCTCTTTAATCCCTTGTCCTTTTAAATGGAAAATGGTAAACATCCAAGTGGAGAACAGATTAATCCCAAACGACGTATCAATATATAAGATGCCTTTTATGTTTGTGCTAAAATTCTTGGTTTATATCACACTACTCTCATTGGCCGATGCCTCTGATCTTTATAGTTGATATATTAGTTTATTTCTTCACTTCTAATAATATAATGAATACCTATTTCCTAAAATATATTTCTCCCTATTAGTGAGGCTCTCAGATGTGTTTTCAGGATCCCAAAGATTATGATCACTTCCATTTCATCCCAAATAATGCCTGTAAACTTGGCAGGTCTCTCTGTTCCTGATTTGTTAGTAAAGCTTGTAGGTCGTACTCTTTTATGAAGCACCCAAAGTCACCCTACAGAAGCCTTTGGGACAGAAGAGCTGCATATTTAAATGTAGGATGTTTTATAAACTTAAGTTAAAGATGAAGTCTACTTCAACCAGAAAGGGGATCTGAAGAAAAGGGATCACAGTGAATAGATAGCATCATGTGTGAATATGGAGAGCAAATGAGAGAGGCAAAATACAGGGGACTGAGTGGCTCACTGTCTGGGCTTGACTCTGCTCAGCTAGTGGTCTGGCCCTTGGAGATACCTGGGCTGAGGCACTGCATTCTGCTCTGCCGATTACCACATGGCGTGAGAGACATTCCCCCTCCTTCGCTATATAAAGATGGGAAGAGAAAAAGCACGGAGAATTTAATTTTTTATTTTAGTTGTGTGGAATGGAAACAGTTCAAACCACCAGAACTTTGGTTGTTCACATACATATTTAATAAAGCCTATCTACTTAGTCTATACTTGCATGCATTTGGGATCTGGAGAATCTGGCATAAGGTTCAGTAAACTTTCAAATATCTATAAATGTAGACTCTGTTTAATCTGTTTGTGGCAACTACCTTCCTCGGTCTACTGTTCAGTAAAATTCTTAGCTACTGAAAATGAAGCCACATCACATTAGCAGGCGGCTAACGCTACTCATAAGGGGAAGTTAAGTGAGTTTGTACAACGCTTAATAGTCAAACATATATTATGGTTGGATTATCAATTGTTCCAAATTTCTATATCCTTCTCTCCCCTTAATTTTTAAATATAAGATGAAAGTTAATGGCATCATAGTTTAGTTATAAAAGATATTCACAAAATTTGCCTTGTTCTATGTTAAAATTTCATTAAAGGTTTCAAAAGAAAATAAAATGATTTAAAATAATATTAAAATAACATTAACACACTATAGATTTTAAAGCACTTAAAGTATTCAGTCTAATGCCTGAGATTCCTCACTCCTCCCCACACCACCTTTGGGAGAGTTGTTGTCCCAAAGGAGCAGCATATCCTTACCAATGAAGAATAGTAAAAGGAAGAAAGGAGGCATGTCTGAATATTTCATTTATGAAAGCTTCTGTGGAGGGTAAAATTTTCCTGTCTTCAAACCTGGTTGATTTCATCCCAATGTTTCCATCTGGGTAAAAAAAAGGTTTTTCAAAAAATTTAATTTAAAAATGAAAATATATTCTTATAAGAATTATACTTTTCATCTGAAAGCATGTTACCAATTTCTTCTTGAATTTTGGCTTGAATTTCTGGATAGTGTATCAAATAAAGAAAGCTCCAATATAGACATGTTGATATTGTTTCAAACTCTGAAAGAAAAAAGAGAGAAAAAGTGTCTTGGAAAAAAGTATTAGCAAAATTGGATCCTCAAGTTACTTTGTATTTGAATACTAAGAATCCAGGGAAAATAATCTAAATATGACTACCAATTAATAATACAATTATTATACATTAACGTTTATTTCAAAATATAGGCTTAACCTCTTACCCATTAGAACAGCCACTACCAATAAGCAGTAAACAGCAAATGTTCATGAGAATGTGGAAAAATTGGAACTCTAATGCATTGCTGGTAGAAATGTAAAATGGTGCAGTCACTATGGAAAACAATATAAAGGGTCCTCACAATATTTAAAAAAGAATTACCAAGTGATCCATTAATTCAAAAGAGCTGAAAGCATGGATTTAAAAAGATATATGTACCACCATGTTCATGGTAGCATTATTCACAGTAGCCAAGAGGCGGAAACAACCCACATGTACATCGATGAATGAATGGATAAACAAAATGTGGTATATGCATGCAATGGAATATTATGCAGCCTTAAAAAGAAGGAGATCCTGTCACTTGCTACAATATGGATGAACCTCAAGGACATTATGCTATATGAAACAATCCAGTCACAAAAGGAAAAATACTGTCTGATTTCATTCATATAAGGTATCTAAAGTAGTCAAAATCGTAAAAACATAAATTAGAAAGGTAGCTGCCTAGGGCTGGGAGTACAGAGGTGGGAAAATTGGGGTTTAATGGGCACAGAGTTATAATTTTGCAAGATGAAAAAGTTCTAAAGATCTGTTACACAACAATGTGAATATACACAACACTACTGAATTGTATATGTAAAAATGTTTAATGTAGTAAATTTAATGTTATGTGTTTGCAACCACAAGAAAAAATAAAACAGTTTTAAATATATAGGTATTATCTATAAGGCAAATGAAAACACTGGAAATATTTCACTACAAAATAAAACATTGTTACAATAATAATGGCTATGATCTATGTATAATAATAATATCATAAATCATACATAGCTATTGAATGCTTTTTCTGTTCTATGCTCATTTTATTGAAGAGAAAACTGTGCTTCAAGGACATTATGAACCTTGCTCAAGGTGACAACTCAGAAGAGACAGAGTCAGGACTTAAACTTGGACTTATCTGGCTTCAAGGCCATAAGTTTGTATAAGTGCATAATGGAAGGTTGAGTACATTCAATTTTTTTAAATACTCATTTTTAGTGTACTTGCTTTGTTTTAAAATTCATCCTTTAAACAAGGTATCTTCACTTTTGATATTATCTATACATTGGTAAGATGTTTTTCATTATTGAAAATAAAAGCCAGAAACTCTATGTAAAACTTCATCTTTTTCTCAAGGATGACTTTATACTACATCAAAGAATGTGATCAGGGCTTCCCTGGTGGCGCAGTGGTTGAGAGTCCTCCTGCCGATGCAGGGGATGCGGGTTCATTTGCACCCAAATGTAGCTACAGAGCAAAGTAAAATCCTTCCCAATCATCTCTTCTCAAGACTTGGTTTTACATTTTTTGAATAGGGCAATCTCTAACAGTGAGTCAGTAGATTCAACAGTTCTCATGCCATAAAATTTCTAACATGACTTCACAGTGCAAGGAATTATCCTAAAAGTGAGTTGTCCAAATGCAGTTGCCAACAATGGTGTTTGTAGTAATGTGCAGTATGGTGTGAGAATATGGACTTCTATTCAGAACATATTGACTCTATTCACTATCAAAAGACAAACGAAACAAGTCATGAATGCTGCACGAAAGGCACTGATTTTGCACATTGTAGAGCCATGGACATTATATCCAAGACCTAGGTCTATCTGGATAAATAATAGGATTCATATTTGGATCATCATAAAATTTTCTGTTTATATCAAGGTTTAAGCAACCTATTATTTATCTTGGCAGATTATCTAACAATCGAGCTTATAATAAATCATTTTGGGAGAGACTGACTATAGCCAAAGGAGAAACTAAATTATCCCTATGATCAATTTGAAGAGTCAAATATGGAATATAAATGTTAATAATACAGCAGATCGGATGAAACAGGGTGCTCAAAAATTTTATCCACTAAAATATGTGGTTTAGGGCTTCCCTGGTGGCGCAGTGGTTGAGAGTCCGCCTGCCGATGCAAGGGATGCAGGTTCGTGCCCCGGCCCGTGAAGATGCCACATGCCGCGGAGCAGCTGGGCCTGTGAGCCATGGCCGCTGAGCCTGCGCGTCCGAAGCCTGTGCTCCGCAATGGGAGAGGCCACAACAGTGAGAGGCCCGCGTACCGACCAACAACAACAACAAAAAATACAAAACAAAATTTCATAGACTAATCAGGAAACTAGATAAACAAAAATAAGATTACAAAGTGAAAAGTGTATAGAGAACTGTGAATAGAGTGGTCTGTCATTGTTTGAGGATGAAATGAAATCATTATTAAAAAGTACTTGGTGAATTACAAGCCATTTAGTGGATATCTAGTTGGCTGACTGCCTAGTCTGTTCTTGAACTTCTCCGCCTGCTTGTAAAAGTGACTTTCTGAAGCAGTTCTACTGTTTTGAAACCTGCCCACATAGTCATGGATGATTGATCCAAGGATAAGCCCTTGACCCAAGATGAACCTTCTTTATGAATATGGAATTAGGGCTGTGAAAGTTCATCTTCTCATTGGGCAGCTAGATCTATAAGATATAAATCTGAAAATATGATTTGGGGACCTTTCACCTACCAGGAGGACCTAAGAAACTGTGAAAGCATGTCTGAAAAATAAATAAAGTAGAAAGGAAAAGAAACAGAGAGAGAGAGACCTCATGACCTTGCATTCACTGTTTCTAGTACCTTCCTGAGATCTTGTCCTTGGATTGAATTCTTTCCTGCTTAAACTAGCTAGAATTGGTTTCTGTTACTTGAAACCAAGGGAGTCCTACCCACCCCTCCTTCCCCCACCCCTGCAAAATAAAGTTTAATACACATGAAGAATATTTTTTGTTAGCTATTGCATTTTTTAGTAACTATAGAAAGAATACAAAACTTTCTCTCCCTTGAAAGAAAACAACTAAATTTCACACTTTTCAAATTACTTCCTGAGACAAGTTAACATTGGTGGGCAGTATACTCATTTGCCAGTGTAAATATCCAGTTCTTTTTGAGTTTTTGAGTAGGCCAACACTTGATTTCATATATATATATATTTATATATATATATATATATATATATATATATACACACATTCATATTGGGAAGCATTCTTGCAAGCAGCAATGAATTTGTTTTCCAGTTCAGAAGAAAATGATAGGGTGGTAAGAAGCACTACGCTTATGTTCTACTTTTAAAAAGCACCAAGGATCAAAGAAATGTGTATCTTATGGCCCTCACTCTGAATACCCAAGAAAACCCTTGTCTTCTATTGTTTACCTTTGTTACCTATTGTTTTACCTTTCCAAGTTCACAGATAAAATGTGGCTAATTACACCAACTTGGTTGGCACTGTTTTCTAAGGAATTAACTTTGGAGTTAAAAGTGAAAGATCAACTTGTTTTTATAGGGGGAAAATTGTGCATTTAAACTAAAAAGAAAAACTGAGTCCCTAATCAATGCAACAGCTACAATTTACAAAACTTCCCTTTTCTCTCAGTTCAGGAAGAAAACAGTGAGAATGTCATTGCACTGAGGCTTTGCAGCATACTGATTTTGCGAAACCTCTCTCGCTTCTATGACCATTTATTGCTCTCTTACCATATGCCAGATCCAGAACCAAGCACTAAATCCACACTTTCAAAGCTCATACCTCTATGAGGTAATGTATCATCCTGTTATGGGGAGGCTTTGCGAGATAAAGTCATTTTCCTCATTTATTTCCCATGGTTTTTGAGCTTAATAATGAATCACCAATTACTTCTAGCACTTGCCTTTTCATAAAATTCCATTTCTCTTGGGCATTCACCAAACTTCCAATTTGACAAATGCACATTGACAATTATCAGAGGCGTTTCCAAAGCAGACAACTAAATAGATGAGAAGTGAGTGGGTGTGGCTAGAAGTAGGTGCAGTTTGACTCCCACAAAGATGACTGGGTTTCCCCCGCCTACCTCTTTCCCTATTTAGATGTGGGAACTCTATTAAATTATAGTGTCTTTTGGCCTCAGTCTTCTCATCTGTAAAATGGTCCCTCCAGACTAGTAGACTTTGAAGGCCAGCTCCAGCCTTCAGTAACCAAAGTTAGAAGGAAAAAGTGGGCAGAAGCCTGAGTGTGATGTCCAGGGTTAATTGCCTGGCTATATTGTGTTGCCAGAGTTTCCAGAGCAGTTAGCAGTTCCACAAATGTAAGTAACTGTGTGATCACCCTGGATTCTTTTTCAACTTGGGCCCTTCTAGTCTGTAATTAAATTTTCTTTGGCAGTTTACCAGACCCAGGCGCATTGCCAACTTTCCCAGCAACTTTCTTGGAAAGCTCTGAAGGCAAATTCTGTTCCTGTTGTTTTGGAGTGAGCTAGGGCTGAAACAGGGTATACAGCTCCCTAAGTGTGGGCTGCAGCATCGTCAAAAATTCAAGGTGAACTCTAACCCCTTAAGAGAAGAACCAGGTGAAAAAAGCACAAGTAGGTTGAAGGCTTTTGTTTTGGTTCTCAAACCTAGACACACACATCAGACCTCCCTCGGAAGCTGTGAAACCACTGTAATACCCACGTCCCAAACGGACCAGTTATCCAAATCTCTAGGGGTGGATGCATGTTAAAAAGCTCCTCAATATGACTAAGGGCCATTCCAAGTTGAGGACCTTTTTGCGGAGAAAACCACCTGCTATGAGATCAACAAATCCATTCAGCCAAATTACAATGAAGCTTGGAAGGCTCACCCGTGCCCAGAAATCTTGCAGTCAGTGCGAGGAATCTGGCGGAGGGATCTAACGGCAAAGAAGGTTTTCTAGAAAGTTGCGTGCATCCTAGGAAACAGGAACAGTGTGGTCACAGCAGCAGCAGGCCTGGGGAAAGGCTGGGAGAG